GGGGGGGAGAGTGAGCCCAGTGCAGGGGGAGAGTGAGCCCAGTGTGGGGGTTGGGACAGTAACCCAGAGTCCAGCTTGGAGCATCTGCAGCCCTGTGGTTTAAGAAACGACTGTAACATTTCAGTTTTTATCTTATTTCTTTATTTTCTTACTTTTACACTAAGAATAAGCCATAGTGCTGAATTTTTTTAAAACTTATTTCATTGTTTTTCCATTTCTGTCCCAAAGAATTTGTACCTAGGTACCTTGTACCTAAGAGGTACCTGGGAATGGTGACATTGTACATTTTTCGCTGTACTCCTGTACTTGAGTACATGTAACAATACACCTAAACCAAATCAAGTCAATACCAATGTATTTAAGGAGAATCTAGCCATGCAAGTGGAAGGATATGTTGATAGCACAGGGTGTAGGGATCTGGGATGGAGCTCATATGAAACATAAACTCTAGCAGTGATTTGATGGGCCAAGCAGCCTGTTTCTGGGCTGTAAATTCATATGTGCTGGTGTGTTTCTGACATAGTGACAATCTGCCTTTGACCTGAAAGAGGAAATTCAAATCGAAAGGATGTTGACTTGCAACAGCCCCCAGAGGAAAGGCAATTCCGACTTTTGTTGAGACAGGAAATCTCGGAGTCTGCTGGTTCCACGGATTGTGTTTCCCGAGTCCCAAAAGTAAATACGTTTGGTTGCACAGTCCCAGAGTCAGTGAAGGTAAAGGAGCAGGAATAGCGAGGAGTGACCAAATTCCAACCTAACCTTTACCCTTAGCCACCTGACCTCTGGGAGGAAGAAGAAGGAACAGCAGGAGAAACTGGACCATCAAAGGTGGAGTCACTATTCGCAATGGAGGTACAATCCTGCGGAATCTATCCCTCAGATTTGTGGATCAGTTCAATAAAACAGCCATCAGATCCCTAAGCTGTTAGGATCTGTTGATGCATGTGAGGGGGTCTGTTAGCCCTGAGAGTGAGAGTTTAGCCTGGATTTGTACTCTACATTTCACTGAGGCTGTGTCCACAAACACAGTAAGTCCAATCAGAGCAGGTATCTTGGTCTCCTCTCGATACAATCTTCATTCCTGAAAGAAATTAGACACTGGACTGTTTCCGGTAATGAGGAATTTGAGTGACGTGGAGAAACTGGACAGGCTGGGATTGTTCTCCCTAGAGCTGAGAAGATTAGGAGGAGATTTGATAAAAATGCTACCAGGATTCAATGAGAGCCTTCTGTTAAATGGGAAAAAAAATAAGAGAGTTGCATTTCTATAGCACCTTTACAACCTGAGGAAGTCCAGAAGTGCTCTCCAGTTGACAAAGAATGTTTTTAAAGTGTTGTCACAGAGGAATCACAGCAAAGACTGCAGAGGTTCAGGAAGGCAGCTACACCACCACCTTCTCAAGGGGCACCTAGGGACAGGGCAATAAATGCTGGGCCCAGTCAGCAATGCCCATGTTCCATGAGAGATTAAAAAAAAGACAGTTTGTGCAAGGCAAGATCCCACAAACAATAATGACTAGATCAATGGTTTACTTAGTGATATTGTAAATCTATTGTCTTCTACTTAGATCTGTAGGGAGCTAGGGAAGAGTTAATAGAGGTGTCAATGACCAGAACGATACAGATTTAATTTGTTACAATCAGCTGAGGAGTGGTGGGATGCCTCTGGTCTTTTCCCACACTGTGTTTGACCAGATAGGTTGTTGTAGATATTTTAAAGCAACCTGTTCTGATGTGTTTGAATACAGCTCAGGAGTAGATGGGACTTGAAGCCTGGCCTAGAGAATGGGACATTACCATGAGCCCCATTGGCTTGTTGTAAAATGGATACACTCATCAATTCACTGAATGTTTAATGATTTAAGTGCTAAAAGATACACAGCCAAGTTTCCTTGAGCTTAAAAAGAGGTATTTATTGTCTTTAATGCATTTTAAGTAAAAATAATTTTTAAATGCTCCAATATACTCATGTACACACATTTGCCAAGTTCAAACACAGAAAAATAGGTGACAAAGGGGGATGATACATTAAAGATATCTCAGAATCCAATAAGGATGTAATTGATATGATTCTCAAAGGTTGATTATTTGTGTGGATCCAGGCTGAGCTCAGTGGTCACAAAAAACAAAGTTGCTGGAAAAGCTCAGCAGGTCTGGCAGCATCTGTGAAGAAAAAAATCAGAGTTAACGTTTCGGGTCCGGTGACCCTTCCTCAGAACCTTCCTCAGTTCTGAGGAAGGGACACCGGATCCAAAATGTTAACTCTGTTTTTCCCTTCACAGATGCTGCCAGACCTGCTGAGCTTTTCCAGCAACTTTGTTTTTGTTCCTGATTCACAGCATCCGCAGTTCTTTTGGTTTTTATTGAGCTCAGTGGTCCTTCTGTTTTCAGTGTTGAGGTGATCTCACACAAGGCATCATTGCATGCCGTACAGTGGTGTGAATGTTGTTTCTTTCTGTCTGTGCAGGGTCAGGGCTCTCTGTTGGAGGCATCGGTGGAGGAAGAGGCATTAACTGTTCTCCACTATGAGGAGCAGATCACAGAGTTGCTTGTTGTTATTGCTGAGCTAAACCGGAAGATCAACAGACTGACAATGTCAACCATCAGGTGCGCACAGAAAAAGATTTCTATCCCCCTCATTCCACCTCAGCAGAGAGGGTAGGGGAGCAATGGGGAATCAGGTCTCGCAGATCCGGTGGGTTAGTTTGACCAAGAAAATATCGGAATATACTCATTGTTACTTCCAGAACTCATACCCCAAGGTGCATCAGTAAACTCCCTCCTGCCCAATTCAGCCACAGTTAATGTCAGGCACATAAGAGAGAAAGACTCACATATAGTGCCTTTCACAATCACAGAGTGTCAGAAAGGCTGGAGGTGAAGACACTGGACAAGGAGTGCAGATGGGAAGGTTAATGTTCTGGGCACACAAGTTCAAATCCAACACCCACCCCTGAGGTCGATTCTGAAATGACTGAGCATAACCTGGGGTGGCACAGCACCAGGGACCCGGGTTCGATCCCACCTTCGGGTGACTGCCTGTGTGAAGTTTGCACATTCTCCTTGTGTCTGTGTGGGTTTCCTCCGGCTGCTCCAGTTTCCTCCCACAGTCCAAAGATGTGCAGGCTAGGTGGATTGGCCAGGCTAAATTGCCCATCATGTTCAGGGATGTGTAGCTTAGGTGGGTTATAGGGGATGAGTCTGGGTGGGATGCTCTGAGGGTCAGTGTGGACTTGTTGGGCCGAAAGGCCTGTTTCCACACTGTAGGGATTCTATGATTTAAAACAAGGGCAAATAGGGATGGCAATAAATACCTGCCTTGCCAATGACGCCCACATCACATGAAAGAAAAAGAATTTCCGTGCCCAATCAGCAAAATCATCCCACAACCACTAACTCTTCCTGATTATTCTCCACTCTCTTTTAGTGACCAATAGGATGATTGGTCTGGACTGACCACAAAGGAATAATAAGCGTAGGGTGACCAGCCCAGATAACCAGGACTGAATGTGCATCCCAAAGTGACAATCACTCTGTCCAGATCGACCCTTTCAGTGTGACAAGCCCAGGGTGATCGATCCACACTGGAATGGCCTGCTCAGACTGACCATTGCATTTACAAACTGAGTTCCGAGGAAAGGTCACCAGACCCGAAACGTTAATTTTGATTTTTCCTTCACACATGCTGCCAGACCTGCTGAGCTTTTCCAACAACTTCTGTTTTTGTTCCTAATTTATGTTATTCACAATCCTTTCGGATATTATACTGCATTTACAAAGTTTGGCTGAAATCACAGCTAACAGCACCCTCCTGTGGTGAGAGCTGCTCACTGCTGATTACTTTGGATCCATCCAAAGTCCAGTTCCAGCTCTAGCTGAGCTACTTGTCATTTCCATTGACATTTCAATAGTTGGAGTTCCTGTCTCCAGATGACGTCGGTGCACATTCCTCACTGTCAACTCACTGACATTTTCCCTTATTTTCCTTGCAGGGAGGAAGATGAATATCTGGACACTTTCTCAGACCTTAGTGACACTCCATATCTTGAAAACAACTCGTTTCTCTGTCCAGACCTGGGTCAACCAACAGTTTCCGATTGCCCAGGACAACCTTGTCAAATACCAGGGAGCACTGGTACGTAAGCAAGACCTTGGTGATTATCGCGGTAGGGTCTAGTCCCAGTACACAGAGAGCGCCACACTATCAGAGTTACCAACTTTTGGTTGAGACCTGAAACCAAGTCCCTATCTTTGATTTTCTGATGAAGGGTCTAGGCCCGAAACGTCAGCCTTCCTGCTCCTCTGATGCTGCTTGGCCTGCTGTGTTCATCCAGCTCTACACCTTGTTATCTCCAGCATCTGCAGTTCCTACTATGTCTCCCCATCTTCCTGCCTGATCCAAAAGATCCCACAGTGCTATTTCAGAGAATAGCAGGGGAGCTTTCTGTGGTCAGTTAGTATTTTAATATTCATCTCCCACTCAACACCAATTAAAACACACTGTTTGGTCTGCTTAGTCATACAGTCATACAGATGTACAGCACAGAAACAGACCCTTCAGTACAACTTCGGTACAACTTAGGGGAGGCGATGGCCTAGTGGTATTATTGCTGGACTGTTAATCCAGAGACCCAGATAATATTCTGGGGACCCAGGTTCAAATCCCACCACAGCAGACGGTGGAATTTGAATTCCATAAATGTCTGCAATTAAGAATCTAATGATGACTGTGAATATTTTGCCGATTGTCGGAAATTGCCAATCTGGTTCACTAATGTCCTTTAGGGAAGGAAACTGCCATCCTTACCTGGTGTGGCCTACATGCGACTCCAGACCCACAGCAATGTGGTTGACTCTGAACTGCCCCCTGGGTAATTAGGGATGGTTAATAAATGCTGCTTAGCCAGCGATGCCCTCATCCCATGAATGAATAAAGAAAAAAAAACTTGTCCATACCGACCAGATATCCAAAATTAATCTAGTCCCATTTGCCAGCATTTGGCCCATATCACTCTAAACCCTTCCCATTCACGTACCCATTCAGATGCCTTTTAAATGTTGTAATTGTACCAGCCTCCACCACTTCCTCTGGCAGCTCATTCCATACATGCACCACCCTCTGTGTGAAAATGTTGTCCCTTAGGTCCCTTTTAAATCTTTCCCCTCTCACCTTAAACCTATGGTCTCTAGTTCCGGACTCCTCTATCCGAGGGAAAAGAACTTGGCTATTCACACTATCCATGCCCCTCATGATTTTATAAACCTCTATAAGGTCACCCCTTAGCCTCCACTCCAGGGAAAATAGCCCCAGCCTATTCAGCCTCTCCCTATAGCTCAAACCCTCCAATCCCGGCAACATCCTTGTAAATATTTTCTGCATCCTTTCAAGTTTAACAACACCTTTTCTATAGCAGCGAGACCAGAATTGAACACAGTATTCCAAAAGTGGCCTCACCAATGTCCTGTACAGCCGCAACATGATCTCCCAACACCTGTACTCAATGCACTGACCCATAAAGGCAAGTGTGCCAAATGCCTTCTTCACTATCCTGACTACATGTGACTCCACCTTCAAGGAACTATGCACCTGTACCCCTAGGTTTCTTTATTCGGCAACTCTCCCCAGGACGCTACCATTAAGTGTACAAGTCCTGCCCAGATTTGCCTTTCTAAAATACAACACCCCACATTTTTCTAAACTAAACTCTATCTGCCACTCCTTGGCCTTTTGGCCCATCTGATCAAGGTCCCTTTGTACTCTGAGATAACCTGTTCTGGGAGCTTGCTGTCCCAATGATCAATGCACTTTGGGAAAAACCTTATTTTCTTCTGTACAATCTCCCCTTTAAAACCAAAGTGAAACTGGGAAGTATTCCAAAAGGGGTAAGTGGATTTCCAAACGGGCAGTTCGGTTCAAAAGAAATGCCCATATGACTCAAGGTTGCCATAGGAATGAAAAACCAAAAAGAAAAAGAATAAATAGAAAACTAATTTGCAGTGGTGTAAGATTTCAGTATAGCTTTTGTGGCAGACAGTTCAAAACAGATCCTGATGTTCGACAGGTATGTGCAAATACAGCAGGGACTGTGTTACTTCCTATATGTGTTATATGTTAGGAAGGACAGAGAGATAAAGACAGGAAGAGCAAGTGGATGAGAACTGGGGGAGCCCTACTGCTGCGTCTTCAGTTGTGCCGTTTTTATTGGGTCTGATATGAGTGTGAGAGGGTTCATAGATGTGCACCTGTCGACATTAATCAAGTTGAGGGAGTTCAGATGGAATACAATGGCTGATGAATGTGACTCAAGGACTGAAACAATTTTTTTTATTCACTCATTGGTTGTGGGTGTTGTTGGCTGGGCCCAGCATTTATTGCCCGTCTCTAGTTGCCCCTTGAGAAGGTGGTACTGAGTTGCCTTCTTGAACCGCTGCAGTCTGTGTGCTGTAGGTAGACCCACAATGCCCTTAGGGAGGGAATTATAGGATTTGACCCAGCAACACTGAAAGAATGGCAATATATTTCCAAGTCAGGATAGAGTGACCTTATGATGGAGGGAGGGTCATTGATGGCTGGGCCAATGGGATAGGAATGAGTGACGATACATAATGATACCTAAGTTGGAAATACTGTGAGGTTGCACTCAGTTCCACACTGGGACTGGGTGTCATGTGAGTACTATAGGCACATCTTTGTTGTATCGACGACTCAAAGTGAAACCTAGCCTTTTATTTGATATACTCTTTGTTTATTAATTAATGTTTGACTGGTGTTGATTCCATTGTTACAGTAGAAGTTTTAAAAAGTAATTTTTTTTCCTTTGGTTTTCTCTGCGTTGGCTTCTTTGGGATATCTTTTATTTTGAGAGCTGTTGATCACAGTGAGGATTCTAACACTGTGTTTAGCTTGCTCGCTGCGTTATAACAGTCGCTACACTTCAAAAATACTTTGTTGGGTGGAAAACACATCAGGTCAGCCTGAAATGTTGAGCCTCCTGACCATGTCAGATGTTAAATCATCAGCTGTCCTGTAGTTAAACCCGAGATATTGACTGTAATCAGAGTTGTAGATCTTGTGTGGGAGTCGATTTAACAAGCAGTTTTTGAAATAATGGTGTCTAGTTTGGCGTCTCGTGCCTGTCACACACCCTGAGCCTCAATGTTCTCGGAACGGGAGATACTGGGGACAGATCCACTTTAAGACATCTACACTCAATCTAGTAGTTATCCCTACACAGGAGAGAATTTCTGGAATCTTCTGATTTGATTTGATTGATTTTATTATCAGGTGTACCGAAATACAGTAAAAAGCTTTGTTTACGAGCAGTACAGGCAGATCACAGTAAGCAAAGGATGCACAGATCAAAAAGATTTAGAGGCATACAGGTTACATTGCAGGTTACATTATTTGAGGCAAGAGTCCATTCGACAGTCTGTTAATGGCTGGGAAGAAGCTGTTTCTGAACCTGCTTGTGCGTGTGTCTGTGATTCTTTCTGAGGTTAATGCTTCAGCCTTTATCAGGATTGATCAGGATCTGTTTCTTTCCATTTGTGCAATCTCCTCCAGCTGCACAAACCTTCAGGAGCCCTGATTTTCATGGAACTGTTGTTGGTGGTTCTAACTTCAGCTGCTTAAGCCCTGACTTAATGCTTTATTCCTTTGGTACTATAAACTATACACTGCTATCTCCTAAAAGTACCAGGAGCACCTTTCTTTTGCAACTTGAAATTCTACTGGATGCGTGGTGTACGCTTTAGCTGTATAAAGCTCTGTCACTTTTTACAGCAGTCAGGTGGGTACTTTAGAAGTCAGACTAGCACCAAGAGTTTTTCTGTTAAGGGAAGTCTGCCCAGCAACAGCCTTTGGATATGTTTTTTTTAAGTTGTGGCTTCACAGATATGTGAGGCCGTGCACACAGAGAAATCCAGAAGACTGCAAACAAGAAACATTTCTCACACTTCTCTGAGAGAATGACAAAAAGAACTGAGAGATTCTAGAGAAAGAATCCCAACACCAGGAAAGACCTAGGTGCAACTGATCAGCTACTGAATCAAGATTAACAACTACAGTACAGCCAACATTGTGTCATCATTGTTACAATCAAAAACCAGTGAGCAACAAACCATCCCATATTTGTGATTTACGCTTTGACATTTATTTTTCCTTTCTATAATTTCCCAACCCTAATACTTGTGTCAAACTGTCTGATTTTTGTCCGTCTTATTTGTGAATGAGTGTGTGTGTTTGGAGTTTAAGGGACTATAGTTCAAAAGGGATAGTTGTAAATTTGTTTTGCAGTTTGTTAAAGAATAAGTTTGATTACAATAAATAGGGTTATTTTCATGTCAATGATAAAAACTGGTGTGAATTGATTTTGTCCTGAATAGTAGTCTGTCAGGCTAATTGATCATCTTGTAATATAATTGGCTAGCGACACATTTGTGAAGGATGGTGGAATAATGACGTTCCATTATTGGTGCATTTTTCCCAAATGAATTGTGACACAAAGCTCTAGAATCCCATCTCCATCCCCATTTGCCCCACCTCTCTGCCTCTCTCTCTTGTTTTAAATACTCATTAACCCTACCTCTGAGCAAATGTTTGTTTTCTTGTCTCTAATGTCTCCTTACGTGGCTCAGTGTGTTTGAAAGCTGCAAAGCATCTTGGGACATTTTACGACTTTAAAGGTGCTTTATAAATCTGGTTGTTGATGTTGATGCTGGTCTCCCTTCACAATGAGATTGTGATTCACTACATCCAATGTCAAGCTGCGGGTTTCTCACTGCCCCAACTCCCCATCTGTCTCTGCTTCTGATTTTCTTGTTGCAGGTGAACCGAGTGAGCTGTCACAGAAACTGCAACAGGTACTGACAGAACTGGAGGAGACAGTGCGCACTCGGAGAACAGAGATCCCACAGCTCTGTGCTGACCCTGCTGAGGAAGAGCAGTCAGCACTGACACACTGGCAACTGGTCACTCAAGTAAGGGTCAAGAGAACTACCTCAGGGTTTGGACAGTGCGACATTAGATTCTGGGTTTTCACTGTTACCCAGAATGGTTGGAGAAAGAGAAGATTTAGAGGAGACCTTCCAAATGTTGAATTTATTCTCTGTGGTAGATTTATAGGTTTTGTTTCCTCTTTTGACAGAGTCTGGAACAAGGAGGTTTGAATATAATATTGTCAGTCACCATACTCTAATCCCAGCTGATTGTATTATTGGATGAAATTCGGCTTGATAGTTTTTTTTTATAATGTTGTCAATGTGATGGTCATTTACTGAAACAAAGTCATATGAGTTTATTACACAAAAGACGAAAACAGAAGGAAACAAACTAAGCTATTTAGGTTTATCTGTTTGGAAGTTCTTAAAAATAAACTTAGACAAATAAAGTCTCAATCCCATTTCTTGGCATTATCCATTTTAGAATTTTCAATCTGGGGACACCTCTTTGTATCATATTTTTAAGTTTGACTTAATTGATTCTCCCGAGTTCTTTCTTGTGAACCATGAAGTCTTCATCCATGAATACTCACAAAAAGGAGAGCTTAGTCTTTCTCAGTTTCTAATAATATACAGATTTCTAACCAAACTCTGCTGGTTTGGAAGTTTCACAAGCTAAACTTTTCTACTGAGGTGATTGTCCTTAACTTTTCCTTAACTGATCTATACACCTTTCAAGGAGAGAAACTACATTTATTCATGACCCCAATCTGATCTCCTCAGAACTACCTGAATCTTTTTTTTATTACTATTCTGAGCCAAAAAGAAACTAATGGCTTTCATTGTTTATTTCACCACAGTAGAAACAAATTTCCATTAATACTCCAGGAGGACCATGTCTCTGACACATATTGTATCGGTCAGTGTTAGAAAGGACTGTTCAATCTTTTATTCTTTTTAAACCTTTCATAAAATTAATCAACCCCTTATGCCACTATTTCAAAATGCAAACTCCAAAATGATATTATATGTATAAATCACACACCTTTTACTGCAACAGATTGAATTAAGAATTCAGGAGGAATGTGGTTACACGGAGAGTGGTGAGAATATGGAACCCATCACCAAAGAGAGGTTGAAAGAGAAAATTATGTAGGTTTGAGTTGAAATTTGATAGATAACATGAGAGAGAAGGAACAAGGGATTTTTGGAGGTGGGATAAAACGGACTGGAGTTGTGGAGATGATTGTGAGCATACAGCAATTGGACTGAATGCCCATTTGCTGTGCTGTTTCTCATAAGATGTAACAACCTGGAATTCAGATGCCAAAAGGTTAATTATTGAGGTAGAGGAAGAGGTGTGGTAGCTAAACAGAAACGATTTTTGCTGGTTGGGAAGTCTAGGACTCAGGGCAGAGTCTAGAAATTTAAGCCAGACTTTCAGGAGTGAAAGTATGGTACATGTTGACACAGAAAGGGTGGTACAATTTGGAATTCCCTTTTGCAATTTGTTTAATTATTTGTTAGTCATTTGTTAATTATTAAGTTGAGATTGATAGTTTTTTAATTCGCGCATGGGACATGGACATCACTGAATGGGCCAGCATTTATAACCCATCCCTAATTACCCCTCGAGCAGGTGGGGGTGAGCTGCCTTCTTGAACCACTGCAGTCCATGTGCTGTAGGTAGACCCACCATGCCCCTGGGGAGGGAATTCCAGGATTTTGACCCAGCGACACTGAAGCACCGGCGATATATTTCCAAGTCAGGATGGTGAGAGGCTTGGAGGGGAACCTGCAGATGATGGTATTCCCGTGGAATTGGCTGCCTTTTGAGATAGAAGTGGTCATGGGTTTGGAAGGTGCTGTCTGAGGATCTTTGGTGAATTTCTGCAGTGCATCTTGTAGATAGTACACACTGCTGCTACTGAGTGTCAGTGGTAACAAAAGGTATGAAGGGATATGAGGAATTGGAGGGTGGGGAAAGAAGGATATGGAGGTGGGTCACAGATCAGTCATTGTCTCATTACATAGAAGAACAGGCTTGAGGGGCTGAATGTCCTCAGCCTATTCCAATATAACATTCCCAGGTGCAGTCTCTCATTCTCAGCACCCAGTGAAGGAGGTTTGGGAGGAAGTGGTCGGGGTTCCAGTTGCCCCTTTCCCCCAAAGATGCTCTCCCATAGCCCACCATAATCCACTCCTTCCCCCACAAGAACTAGAATGTTTACACCACATTGCCCCCTGAGACTCAGCTGTACTGCCCAGCGGTGCAGGTGGGACAAGATGTTGCTGTGTGTTTTATTTGTATCTGATTGTGGCTGCAAACCCCCACCCATCCCTCTGCAGACGATCGAGGAGGTGGAGAGGGAGTTGGGTGTTGACCTGAGCCCTGAGCTGCAGGAGGAGAGGAGCCAGTGGGAGGCCGAACTGAATTGTCTGAGGGAGAAGAATCAGCATCTGTCTGACCAGCTCGTCCAGAAGGATCAGGAACTGCGGCAAGCTTCCACTGCCCTCTCAGGGATTCAGCAGGAGAGAGACAAACTCCAGCTGAAGGCAAGTTACTCACTCTCCATCTGTTTGCAGACTCTGTCACCGAGCACAGACATGAAAGCTGAATGGCCTCCTTTGGGGTAGTATCACAGAGACTGTGCGAATGGATTGAACAGGAACATTCAAAGGGGAATCGGAGAAATGATGGGAAAAGAGAGGTTTGCAGGGCACTGGTGAAAGAGCATTGTGAGTGGGAAAGATTGCTCAGAGAATGGGCACAGACAGGATGGCATGCTGCATATGGTACTGGGCTAGTGATACAGAGACAAGCACAGAACACTGGAGATACTCAGCAGGTCTGGCAGCATCGTTGAAGAGAGCAAGAGAGTTAAAGTTTTGAGTCCAGTGACCCTTCCTCAGAACTCCAGCATACAGTGATAAGCTCCCTCTACACTCCTGGGACAAGGACAGCACAGGGTTAGATACAGAGCAAAGCTCTCTCTACACTGTCCCCATTAAATAGTCCCAGGACAGGGACAGTACAGGGTTAGGTACAGAGTAAAGCTCATTCTACACTGTCCCCATCAAACACTC